TGTTCCTCCCACCCACTTTGCTGCCCACTCTCACAACGACCCACCCCACTGCCTACCCTAAAACCCGGTACCCTGAGTTTAAATGTTATTCACCAAATATTATGTTGTTTTGCGTTATTTTCCCGGTCACTGTCCACCTCAAACTTTACATCCCGCTAAACTCACCCCAATGCTAACCTTTTATGACTCTATACGCATCAGTATGGCTTGGACACACACACACACCATGGGCTGCACCTCACGTACACACACACACCATGGGCTACACCTCACGTACACACACACACACTCCCCAACATACAAATCATACATATAAATCATTAACTAACACACACACACACACACACACCTGCACATCTACACCATGAGCTTTTAAAGTACAAATCAACGAGTAAATGTTAGTACACAAACGTAATGGTGGGGGTCCGTAGCACAGTAACTTCTAAGTACAAATTAGTACATAATTACACTCGTGGGGCTGATGAGTTAATACACACATAACTACGTTGTCTATATTCACGTCGATTTTACGGAATAAATATCGAATCACCTGAAGAAGCTCCACCCCTGCTTATTTCACCTAAGATTTAGCCATTCTAATCTAACCAAATCTAACCCCCCCCCAAAAAAAAACCCCCATTGTGTCAGCGTGGTTAATCAATCTAGACTAACACCACCTCCACATACCAACACACATCAACAAACAATAAATATCCTCGAGCGTTAAGTCATTATGACACAAGATAAACAAACTTTTCTTCTGACTGGAATGATATTATGTACTGGCGTGTTACTGTCCGGCGGGAGGTGGTGGAGACTGGGCTGGTCCCTACACCGGCGGCTCACCTGCTGGCCTCCCTCTCTCCCTGAGCCCTAGTGTCTATATTAACGACTGTATGGCAACTGACCAACACACAGCGTCAACAACACACGGGTTCCATAATGCAACAGCTTCGGCCCAAACGCCAAAGATTACAACAAATACTTGGACACACTCATGTTTTCTTCAGTATATTGTACAGTTGCGGACATTATTCTCTTGGCACTTGGCGATATCTGACATATTTATGGGCAGGGCCGGCCCTAGGGTATGGCGAACCAGGGCCTCGCGGGCAGTGGTCAACGTTTCTCAGCACTAAGTATTGACCTGACCCCTCAGTAAAAGTTTAAAATCCACCAAATGATGAAGTTATTTGCTGTCAAGGTCTGGCGTTGGGAAATGTATTGACCAGACCCTGAAAGCATGTCAATACCTGATGCTGGGGAGTGTTGACCACCCCAGGTGTTGGGTCATTCTCTCCGAGGCTGGTGTCGTGTCGTCCTTCTCTAGTTATATCCTCACAGCTGCCGCCACGCTCCTAGTGATCTGTTTCTCTACCAAGACTATTTGTTGAACAGCTGGCTTCTCTAAGTACAACTTGACCGATACTGATACACACACACACACACACATCCCTCGGGCAGTGTCCTTGAGTCACACTCCACCGATGGCGCTAATACCCGGGTTACATCACTACGGACGACATCCTATAATCTACGGACGGAGCTTTAACACCGGGGCGTCTCTCTCAGTGTATTAACGCTCTCTCAACACTGTCTACAAGATATAAAGTGAAAATACATAGACGAATATAACAAGAAAACAAGTATTACATTGTACTAAGACCCTGGTTTTATATATGTCTTATGTTTAGAGAGTGTGAGAAAGTCGGACAGCCTATAGTCTATATAATGCTTGTGACAGTGACGGTAGACTACGTTATTATATGCGCCGTCACAATCACAAGGACATGCTCGGCTGTCACGGCCCTACACAACACCTGAGTCAGGCGGAACAAAAACTTAATGCTTTTTACATAGCTCCCCCGAGGAAGAAAGTAGCTTTATTAGCTTTGTCATAATATTTATAATGACGAAAATCTTTGTATTCAGGGTGTCTACTGGCCAGACAAAACAAAATTGCCTGCCTTTTCCAGGTTCACCAGGCGTAAATTTGAAAAATTACAGGTACATTAATTCGGTATTTATTACGACAGAATAACAAATTTAGATGTTTTTAATAATATGTACTGTATATACTATTGAGCAATTTAAAGGTGATACAAATGACATTAATCAAGACCCTTTCGCGACCTACCCCAAGCCTAGATCATGAAGAAAGTCGGCAAAGACCTCACCCCCTCCCTCCATATTTTTCCCCTCGGATTTGTGCGATTCGAGTCGATCTGGACGTTCCAAAAAAAAAAAAAGGCGTATTTCTGACGTAAATCGATTTTTTGGGGGAACTGAAAACTAACGTGTTTATATAGTAAACATAGATTAACCCAGCATTATTGTGAAGCCTAACCTAACCTAACCCCAAAAACCCACAGAAGAAAGCCACAAACAAACATTATTAACATCTTGGGCTCCTGGGAACGCCATCTGATATCGTAAATAGATTAGGACCCCCCAAGAGATGCCACAGGTACTATGTGTGAGAACAATGGGAAGTAAACAT